AGTCAGGGAGTGCAATAATGTCTCCACCATCATTAAAACCTGTCGCGGGTCCATTTTGGGTGCTCAGGTTTGTTTACGTTCACCCGGAAGTAGAACTTCTTCTTCTGTGTTTTTTTAAGGAGAGTTTACCACTCTGCGCATGTCAGTACTGCTGTTCAGAACAAAGCCCGCTGCATGTAAACTCTCGTCATGAACAGATTGTGTCCATGTAAACAATACATTTGAATTATTCAAACAGAACACATTTCAATCTGGTCAAAGAATTCTGCGCATGTAAACATAGCTACTGTGACCTTATCAATTCATGTCTTTCTCCCATATCTCCATCCTCTATTGCTTCCACCAGATCAAGCCTTTCCTTGACAATCTTTTGCTTATCCTGTGCTTCCTTCCCTGAGTTACTTCTACTTTGTGCATGATAGAAGGACATAATTCCATGGCAGTTGCACTAAGGGTAGACTGATTTTGAGCATTCTGTTCTGGCACTGTAGATCCTTGCTGCTGAGACCTTATAAGTGTATAGCATGAAATGCTGCTTTCATGGAAATGATGATAGGTATGCACTTCCGCCTCATGAGGGCTATCTATCACCTGGCCATCAATCCCCCCCCCCCCCCAGATTTATTGTTTTTTTTGTGCATATTTTAATTTCCTCTATAGGGAGTTTTTATTCAAGAGGCAGTTCTTTTGCATGCAGCAGGTTTCTGTGAAAGATTCACCCTGATTTCCTAAAGGCTCTGGGTGTTGTGGGACTGTCTTGGTTGACACGCCTTTGTAACATCAGGACATCTTCCTGGCTCCTGCTTACATGCCCCCGCTGAGACCATCCAGATCGGTACAAAAGAAAGTTAAATGCTGGATCCAGGACAGTGGCCCCATACTGAGAGATTGTTTTGACCGAACAGACTGGCAAGTTTTCAGAGAAGCTGCTGAAAATGGAGGTTTGCTTGATCTTGACCAATACACATCCTCAGTTCTGGGTTACATTAGTACATGTACTGAAACCGTCTCCACTATCAGAAATGTTAAAAGCTACCCAAACAGAAAACATTGGCTGAATGCAGAGGTGCGTACCCTGCTGCAAGCCAGGAACACTGCCTTCAGGTCTGGAAACTCAGAGGAGCTGAGTAGGACAAGAAAAGAGCTGGTTGCTGGTATTAAGAGGGCCAAGGCCACATATGCAAAGAGGATCGAGGGTCAATTCATCTCACAAGACCCTCGGAGCATGTGGAGGGGCATTAAGTGCATAACAGATTATAAAGGAAGGAGCGAGCAATGCCCCAAAGACCCATCTCTGCCTGATGCCCTCAACAAGTTCTATGCACGCTTTGAAGACTCGAACAGACCACCCAGCACCAGACTCACCTCACCACCGGATGAAGAGCATCTCAGCGTGACCTCAGCAGAAGTAAGGAGTACTTTCAGGAGGATTAATCCGCACAAGGCAACTGGCCCAGACAACATCCCCGGAAAAGTGTTGAAGGAATGTGCTGATAAGCTCTTTGAGGTGCTGGCAGATATCTTTAACACCTCACTTACCCTGGATACAGTTCCCACCTGCCTGAAGACTGCCACCATCATCCCAGTCCCAAAAAGCTCTACAGTGACTGGTCTGAATGACTATCGGCCAGTGGCCCTCACCACGATAGTCGCTAAATGCTTTGAAAAACTGGTCATGACTCACATCAAAACAACCATCAACATCAACGAGGACCCTCATCAGTATGCATACCGTGAGAACCGATCAACAGAGGATGCCATCTCCTCTGTGGTCCACACTGCGCTCAACCAACTGGAGCAGAAAAACTCTTACGTCCGTATGCTCTTTGTGGACTTCACATCAGCCTTCAACACCATGATCCCCCAAACCCTGATGGACAAACTATCCACACTAGGACTAAGCCCTTCCATTTGCAACTGGGTACTAGACTTTTTAACAAACAGACCACAGTTAGTGAGGATCCACAACTTCTCCTCCTCCACCATAACCCTCAGCACTGGCTCTCCTCAGGAATGTGTGTTGAGCCCCCTCCTGTTAACGCTGCTCACGTATGATTGTACAGCTACCCATCCAGGCTGTCACATTGTAAAGTTTGCAGATGATACAGCGGTGGTGGGATGCATCACAAACAATGATGAGTCCAGCTACAGGCAAGAGGTGGAACACCTGGAGAGCTGGTGCAAAGAGAATAACCTTCACATCAATGCGAAGAAGACAAAGGAGATGATTGTGGACTTCAGAAGGAACAAAAACATCTACACCCCCCTGAACATAAGAGGATCTGCGGTGGAAGTGGTCTCCAGCTACAAGCACTTAGGTGTACACATGAATGACGACCTCAGCTGGAGCAACAACACCACCAGCCTGATCAAAAAAGCTCATCAGAGACTCTACTTCCTCAGACGGCTGAGGCGAGCTGGTCTGGGAAGCTCAGTCCTCACCTCCTTCTACAGGTGTGCAGTGGAGAGCATCCTGTGCTCCAGCATCAATGTGTGGCATGGAGGCTGCACAGCTGCAGAAAGAAAAGCTTTGCAGAGAGTGGTGAAGGCTGCACAGAATTTTGTCGGAATCAGCCTCCCCACCATCACAGACATCTACACCTCCAGATGCAGGAAGAGGGCCACCTGCATCATGAAGGACCCCACTCACCCAGCACACACACTTTTTGCCCCACTCCCCTCAGGAAAGAGGTTAAGGAGCATTAAGTGTAGAACCACTAGACTGAGGAACAGCTTCTACTCTGAGGCTGTTAGAGTCATGAATCTATAACTAGAATAATCACTGTGAAAAACCGCATCATGTTGCTGCTGCTCTGTTTCAATGTTGATGTGTTAATGCATGCACATCTGCTCACAGACTCATGTTTGTGCTGATGTTCAATGTTTTATGTTATGAGTGCTTAGTCTATATTTAGTTGATGTTTTTCTTAGTTCATATCTTAGATGTTATTACTGTTTTTCTTATACATTTTATTGTTGGATGTAACTGGGACCTTGTGTACATAATTTCGCTCCACCACATGTACCACATGAGGTGCGAATGACAATAAAGAAACTCTGACTCTGACTCTGACTCTGACATCATGAGCAGTATCACTGAATTGGCAGACTGGAGTGGTGCTTCCCTTCTTCAAAACGGTGGACTGGATGTTGTGCTCAAATAATAGGGGCATTACTCTCCTTAATCTCCCTGGTAAGGTTTATTCGGGGATACTGAAGAAACGAGTCTGATCATTGGTCAAACTTCAGATCCAGGAGGAACAATGTGGGTTCTGTCCTAGCTGTGGAACACTGGATCAACTCTTTACCCTCACTACGGTGCTCAAGGGGTTATTGGAGTTTGCTAATCCAGTCTACATGTGTTTTGTAGACTTTGAGAAGGCTTTCAACTGTGTTCCTTGAGGTACACTGTGTGGAATGCTCTGTGAGTATGAGATTGGGGACCCATTGCTACGGGCTGTTCGGTCTCTATACAAGGGGTGCAAGAGTTTGGTTCACATTGCTGGTAGTAAGTCTGACCCCTTCAGGGTGGGAGTTGGATTTCGCCAGGGCTGCCCGTTGTCACAGATTCTGTTCATAACTTTTATGGATAGAGTTTCTCGGTGCTGCCAGAGGGTGGATGGAGTCTGGTTCGATGGTCTCAGGATTCATTCTCTGCTATTTGCAGATGATGCGGTTCTGTTGGCGTCATCATGCTGTGATCTTCAGAGCTCACTGGAGCACTTCACAGCTGAGTGTGAAGTGGCTGGGATAATAATCAGCACCTCCAGATCTTAGGCCAAGGTTGTCTGTTGTAAAATGGTGGATTGCTCTCTTTGGATCGAGGGTGTGGTTCTGGCTCAAGTGAAGGATTTCAAGTCTCTTGAGGTTTTGTTAATGAGTGAGAGAAGAATGGTTTGTGACATTGACAGATGGATTGGTGCAGCATCTGCAGTATAGCAGTGCTGGTCCGTTGTACTGAAGAGGGAGCTGAGCTGTAAGGCAAAGCTCTCTGTTTACCGGTCGGGCTATATTCCTACCCTCACCTATGGCCACAAACTCTGAGTAGTGACCAAAAGAATGAGATTACGGATACAGGTGGTTGAAATGTTTCCTCTGCAGGGTAGCTGGATTCTCCCTTAGAGGTAGGGTGAGAAGTTCAGTTATCTGGGATAGACTCTGAGTAGAACCACAGCTCTTCCACATCAAAAGGAGCCAGTTGAGGAGGTTCAGGCATCTGGTAAGGATGCTTCCTGGTCGCCTCCCTAGGGAGGTGCTGTGGACATGTCCAACTGGGGGGAGACTCCGGGGAAGACCCAGAACACGCTGGAGAGACTAACTATGTCTCTCAGCTGGCCTGGGGAAAGCCTTGGGGTCCTCCGAGAAGAGCTGGAAGACGTGGCTGTGGAAAGATATGTCTGGTGCTCCCTGCTTAAGTTACTGCCCCCCCCCCCCCCCCCCGACCCAACTTTGAAACAAGTGGGAGGTAATTGATGGATGGATGGAAGGAATATTATAATCTGTTAGAGCTGCTTTACTAACGGTCAATGGGAGTCTTCACAGACACAGTAGCAGTAAGCAAAGGGAATTTATGGGCTTGTTTTGTGGGTCATATCTGTTAGAGCTACACAATAAAACTTGTGGATGTCATAAAATTTCCTGTGAGAATTATTTTTTTGTTTAATTTTATTTTTGTTTGTTTTTTAGTTTTATTCTTAAATTTTTGTGACATACATATGCTGTAGTCATGTGTTTAAGTTTAATTACTTTTTACTGTGGGAAAGCAAACTGCTAGTGCTGTAAACTGAATGTGTATTTGCTCCTGAGCACTGGAAGATTAAAAAAGGCATCACATTTAAGTAAAAACAGTCTTGTACTAGAAAATGGTCCTTAGAAGTCTGGTTGTAATAGAAGTAATCATGACTTTTTCATTTTTCCCAGAGTTGCTTCAGAACCTTGCACACACACACAAATACATTTTCTCCCACTAACACTGCTTCTCATTTGAATTTCTTTTTCAGGTGTTATGGGTGAATATGAGCCAAAAATTGAAGTTCAGTTTCCAGAGGTCATTCAAGTTGCAAAAGGATCTACAGTAAAGCTGGAATGTTTCGCCCTGGGAAAGTAAGCCCACACAGTACAGACTTGGTAACATCTAAAAGATAAGACATGCCATTAGAGTTGGATTTTTGTTGTTTGTTTTCACAAGATTTCCCAATTTGATACAATCCAATTGTGATTTTAAGTTATTTTGCTCCTTTGGGATATTAAAGTATGTCAGTTCCAGTGTAAAAATATTTAATAATATATATAATTAACATTATATATATAAATTTCAGTAAAAAATATCAGATTTTTTATGGAGTATACTGAAGCCTCAAGTTCAAAACATAGTAAAAGTCTTGGAAAAATTAAGACAAGTATGGTTTTCTAAAGCCAGAAAGTTGACTCAAGTTGGGCACAATCAAGATCCTAGAATACATCAGTAAGAAAGCTCCAAATGAAGAAATGCTCAGTGAATGTTCCAGGCAGCAGAAACCCTAATTGAAAGAGGAGGATCAAGCGGCACTATCACAGAAAAATAAGCCCCTACATGGCATGTTCCCCTGGCAGATTGAGGAGGTGGCTGATATCAACAAATCCTACCAGAGGCTAAAGAGGATTGGACTGAAGGACAGCATAGAGGCACTGATGATGGAAGCATAAGAGCAATAGAGGACGGGTCTACCATACCAGACAAGACCCAAGATGCAGGCTGTGCAAAGATGCCCCTGACACAGTCCAACACATAATAGCAGGGTGTAAGATCCAAGCAGGCAAAGCATACAAGAAAGACCATAAAAAGTGGCTGGAATAATATACAGGAACATCTGCGCCGAGTATGGACTCGGCTTTGACTGGATCCCTCAGTCAAAGTGAGATGCCACAAAGGGTTGTAGAGAATGACCAGACTAAGACACTGTGGGACTTCCAGATTCAGACTGACAAGCAGGTGATGGCTAAGCAACTGGGCAATGTGGTGATAGATGTAACAGTCCCAGGTGACTGCGACATCAGTAAGAAGGGGCATGTGAAGCTGGAAAAACATCAAGGGCTGAAAGAGGATACGGGAAAGTTGTGGAAGGCCAAGACATCAGTGCTGCCAGTGTTTTTTTATTACTTACCATATATCCTGATGTATGCTCAATAATCCAGGTAGAAAAATCCAAAAAAAGTTCAATCTGGTCCTCTGGACATTCAAAAAAACAAAACAAAGCAAAAAAAATATAGAAACGTTTCGTCTCTCATCCAAGAGACTTCCTCAGTCTGAGGTGCTGTTTTCAGCTCAGTCTCTTAAATAGCACCTTCTCAGAGTGGATCAACCAGTTTGCTGCTGACAACCAAAACCAGCTGCTCACATGGTCAAGAAGGACCATCAGCCTAACAATGGATCATTAGCACACTGATGGCTGTTTACTATTCATAGGGGGCTGAGTGATACTAGCAATCAGAGCATTGTAAGAGGGGGACAGTTGAACCCGGAGGCCTCCACCCCTGTTTAATGATGGATGATTTCTTTTCACAAAGATGGCCTCCTTTTCTCCTCTCTCAAACCATTGTTCCTCTCTGTCCAGGATGTGAACATCTTCATCCTTGAAAGAGTGACCGCTGGCCTGGAGATAAGTGTAGACCGCACAATCCTGGCCTGATGATGTTGATCTTCTGTGCTGGGCCATCCTTTTGGCCAGTGGCTGTTTAATTTCCCCGATGTAAGACTGATCACAGCCCTCCTGACACTCAACAGCATACACAATATTACTCTGTTTGTGCCGGGGGACTGGATCTTTGGGATGAACCAGTCTTTGCCGTAATGTATTTTGGGGTTTAAAAGCCACTGGGACGTTATGTTAAGAAAATAAACGTCTCAGTTTCTCTGATACTCCCTCAACATACGGAATGACCACTGGTCTGGGTCTGGGTTCCTCCTTTTCACCTGATGGCTGACTGGAGTCCTGGTTGGGTTTCTTCTCTGCTTTCAGGAAGGCCCAGTTAGGATATCCACATTGCTCTAGAGCCTGTTTTGTGTAGGATTTCTTCTTCTGCCTGGCTCCCGAGTTAGTGGGGATGCTGTCTGCTCTGTGATACAGAGTCATGATGACTCCTAACTTGTGCTCCAAAGGGCGATGGGAGTCAAACTGCAAATACTGGTCTGTGTCGGTGGGTTTGCAGTACACCTCGGTTTGCAAATGTCCTCTATCAATTTTATCAATTTTATCAATTTTTATCAAAGCCAACCTCTAAGAAGGTTGGTTTTCTTGGACTGTGAGGTCTCAGTCTGTCATGTTCAGCCGTCAGGAGTGTTTGAACCCACGTGCAGGAGGATGACGAGGACGCTCGAGGAATAAATATAAATATATTTATTTAAACAAAACAAAATCAAAACGCTGACAGGGCAGCTACTCACAAATTAATCGGATGGACGGAACGGAAGGCTGGACACAACACCATTGAAGGACAATCCCGAGACAAAGACAAGACACCAGTGAACTGAATATATACACACACACTGATTAGGACAATGACAGACACCTGCAGTGATTAACATTAGACACAGGTGAGACAGGGGCTGAACACAAGGGAAAACACTGAGTGCAGGAAACATGAGGAAACCCCCACACAGTCTCTGATAGAGGACATTTGCAAACCGAGGTGTACAGCAAACCCACCCACACAGACCAGTATTTGCAGTTCGACTCCCATCACCCTTTGGAGCACAAGTCATCAGGACTCTGTATCACAGAGCAGACAGCATCCCCACTAACTCGGGAGCAAGGCAGAAGGAGAAATCCTACACAAAACAGGCTCTAGAGCAATGTGGATATCCTAACTGGGCCTTCCTGAAAGCAGAGAAGAAACCCAACCAGGACTCCAGTCAGCCATCAGGTGAAAAGGAGGAACCCAGACCCAGACCAGTGGTCATTCCGTATGTTGAGGGAGTATCAGAGAAACTGAGACGTTTATTTTCTTAACATAACGTCCCAGTGGCTTTTAAACCCCAAAATACATTACGGCAAAGACTGGTTCATCCCAAAGATCCAGTCCCCTGGCACAAACAGAGTAATATTGTGTATGCTGTTGAGTGTCAGGAGGGCTGTGATCAGTCTTACATCGGGGAAACTAAACAGCCACTGGCCAAAAGGATGGCCCAGCACAGAAGATCAACATCATCAGGCCAGGACTCTGCGGTCTACACTCATCTCCAGGCCAGTGGTCACTCTTTCAAGGATGAAGATGTTCACATCCTGGACAGAGAGGAACAATGGTTTGAGAGAGGAGTAAAGGAGGCCATCTTTGTGAAAAGAAATTGTCCATCATGTAGTGAACTAAGCCTCAGGTCAAAACCTGATCCTGGGACATGAACTGTTATTTCATTGATTTGAGTCCAGAAACACAATTTAAGCTCATCCAGAGACTTTCTGAGTGTGTCCTGCACTGGTCAATTGAAAGAACACTCTCTGTTCATTATCATTACTATTTTACAATATCTTGATAATCAAAGTGTGTTTAGTTCAAATCATTTTAAATGTTGAAGTGAACTACTCATTTTAAATCAACTGTGAAACAGTATAAATGATTTTTAATCCTCATTCAAAGTAGAAATCAAGTTAAAATGCCTGTTACAAGTAATGATGCATCTTTGATCTTCTGTCTGAAATGAGAAGGAGTGAGTCGCTCAAAAGTCAAGGAACGGTCAAAAACATGTTTATCGGAACGAAATGTCATGTTTAACTCTCTCAGATAGATAGAAGGAGACTGGTTCCAAAATGTCTCTGTTTCTTCAAAACATCTTTCTGTCTGTTCTTAAAACAATCTACTCTGTCTCCTTGACTTGTAATAACCTCTGACGTCACTAAAACCACACCCCGGTTGGTTCGTTCAACCAATCAGGAAGTTCTCAGAGGAACCTGAAGTAACCTCTTTAAAAGGGTAAACACTTCCTAGTTCCAAGCAGAACAAGAGTTCCAAGCGGAACAACGTTCCAGAGAGAACCAGAGTTCCAGGGAGAACCTCGAACGAGAAGTTCCGAGCAGTTTCTAATGGAGTGACGAGAGTCTGTCGATGCCACGACGTCTCGCTGTGGCTCTACCTGACGAACGCTCTGAACAATGAGGAAGTCTGTTTTGTGATGATCTCACGACTCCTGAGGTCACAGCTGTTCTTACGGAGACGCTGAAAAGAGTTGAAAGAAAACTCTACACCGGAGCCGAAACTATCATCTGCAAAGGTAAAAGAGTCGATCTCAACTGCTAGTGTACCGTGGATTAAGCTGCGTCTAAAGAAGCGTGCTGATCTGGTTATACAGACACATTCCCTCACCCATCTCTCTCCATTTAAACTTCATTTTCCCATCTTTAAAACTCTTCTATCTGCCAGTAATTAATCCAGATATTTTCAGAAATGTCTGTTGTATTTCAGTTGCAAGTAAGAAATCATGGCCGTATGATTTCTCATTGTAAAGCTCATTAATTAAGCTGTGTTAATTGTAATCAATCTGTCAATTAATGTAAATGTGTGATGTGTTTTAAATCGTTTTTAATTAAACGGCTCACTGTTGTGGTGAGTCAGAAATTAAAACACGTTTCCGTCCACATTTAATCATTCAAGGCACGATAGTACTCAGTCCAGAAAAATGAAAGAATCCGTTTAAATTATGTATAATACCAGACAGGTATCATTCCTTACAACTGGTGGCCCGTAACGGGTTCATGAAATGGACTGTGCTATTCTGTAACACTTGAATTTATCATGTTGGCATATCTGATCTTAACTGAAAGTAGCTTAAAAGTGCAGATTTCTGTTTGGCTGTGAAACGCAGCGTTTTGCAGCTGTGGGGTTCAGAGAAAATACAGTGATATGTTTTCAGTATGTGGTGTTTTTAGAGCTGAAAGTAACGTCAATGTGTTCATTTAAAAGCTGAAATTTGTACATCTGTTGTGTAACTGAAGCTGGGTTTGTGGTAAAACGCTTTATTCTGTTAAACTGTGCAGAGAGGGACGGGGGTACTGACCCGTTTCGGCTGTCGGACTCGGTTCAGATTTTGAACGAGTCGTGTTTTGAATGGATAAAATGCTGTTTTGAAGCTG